TCAGAAGGGCATTTTGTGGTATATCCTCTCGTCCATCAGGAAGGAGCATCCCCCCTTTCTGCTGAATGGAATCATGTCTCTGTGCTCCCCAAAGGGACTTATGCTCTAGTTAGTGTGTATGTTTGCATTTTATGTAGGGTCCCCCTTCCTCTCTCCCCTTCCTCTCTTCCCCATTGCTTGCAATAAAGATTTGCATTGAGCTAACTCCCAGTGTTTTACATGTCAGCATCCAAACTTATTATGGGGTTGTTTTCCCCAACAGCTCTGGCTGGCCCAGCAGCACCTTTCCTTAGATATAAACTAGGTACCTGGACAAGGGCTTAGCCTACTGACACCAAGAGCTGTATAAAGCAAATGTCAATGGGGAACCCAGCTTCCTCCCAGGAAGGACTCCTTTATGCCATAGGACCGTCACAAAGCAGCTCTATTCCTAACTCTCATCCTTCCACATTGAAAAAAAAAAAAGAAAAAGAGAAAACAAAGCCTTCATATTAACAACAAATAATCAGTCAAGCAAATCAGATTCCCTCATTGGCTGTGTCTGAAAACATATCTTATTCTGTATCAGGACATGACCTGTCCATCAAGAAGTGATGAATAACATGTTTCATCATCAGTTTTCTGGCCACAGTTGGTCATTGCATTGATCAGAGTTCCCAAATTTTTCAAACTTGTTTTTATTGTTGTTTACATTGTTCAAGATGAAAATCTAATGAGAGAGACAATGCATACTGAGAAGAAGTGTTCAGGGAGGGATATACTGTTATGTAAAGTTACAAGATGGTGAATGAGTTCTAATGAAGGATGCAGAATGATATCCCTTTTCAACAGAAATGCTATTATTGATTTCATTATGGCTTCAGAACTAGGAAGTGGCGTGTGATGGGTGTGGTGGGACACAGAGAGCTTAAAAATTGAAGATTTTCAGAGAATAGACTGCGTATGAAATACAGAAAAGGAGCTGTAAGAAAATTTGAGGAGGTAGTCACTTTGAGCTGGAGGAACTGGGCAAACTTTCATGAAGGAGGTAGCAGCTAAAGGAGAGAGCACATCCCAGGTAAGGAGACTGGTCTGATGAGTTGGATGGAGGTAGGAGAGTGCAGGATGAAATCACTGAATAGCTAGTTGACCAATTTGACCGATTGGAGGGACTCATCCAAGGTTACACAGCTAATAAACATCTGAGCTGTAACTTGAACTCAGGTCTTCCTGACTCCAAGTCCAACAATTTATTCACTACCACACTGAGCCTTTGTGTCCTCACACCAACTTCAAAACCATCATTGCTGAGATGAAATACTTTGGGATTCTAGATTCCAGAACAGAAACTGATACATTGCTTTGATTCTTACTCTGAGTTGTTCTGGTGTAGATTCTTCAGTCAGTATGATAGTACTTTCAATTACTACTGTATGTTCAAATTTCATCAATAAACATACTGGGGAACACAATTATTGGATAAGATCATCAATTTGATTTTGTAGCCGCCAACATCAATTTGCAGGGGAACCAAAGAGTATTCTTGAATATTTACTTCACGAATGTAGTTTCAGTCACTTGGCATCAATTTGAAGTTTACATCTGGGTGTTTCACACACGTACTTGAGTTGGCAAAGACAAAACTTCAAAGAAACTTCAGAAATACTACAGCTTTAATAGAACCTAATTAGGTAAATTAGTGATCCTGATCCTCCCGGTTCTCCCCCCACACCCACACCTTTGCCCACTTATCTAAGAAGTAACTTAACAGTTGACTAATAGGTACTTAAATTCAAATAAGCCCTAATATGGGAGACTTTAAGAAACAATGACACCATCTAGTTATCTAAGAAAATATGTGAATTCTATCAAACAAATTATCTCCATATGGTTCTTCTAGTTAGTTGGTACAACAAAATACCTGGAGAAATGGTATAACCAGCAGCTCCTGACACAAAGCAAGCATTTAAGGTTTGTCTACTTAAAGCACAGCTTTCCAGCCCTTCAAGACATTTAGTTTCTATATTAATGTATATTAACGTATTAAAGTCAGGCCATGAAGTTCTTCGGGTTAGCAGTGATTTTAGGTGTAGTTTTAATCACTTAAGTATTATCACTACTTTAAGCATTTAAGTCCCATGTAGTCAGAATGACCAACAAGACGGGAATTACCATTGTAGAGCATTCAGATATGTGTACTTTTAATGCGTGCAAAAATTACATGGATTGTTCATTTGAGTTTCTGTAAAGCTTGTGTGAAAATTACATTGGTTAAAATAGTCTATGTGCCTAAAGTGACAGTCTTGATAAGGAAATGTGTATACGTAGACATATTAATATAATTATACTACTAATAATATAAACATACGTAGTTCAAAAGTTTGTTTCAATTGTTAAAAGCTATTCTTTGTCACTCATCTCATGGCTTTTGTTGCCAGTCACTTCCTTCATATCATCCCATATTATTGGCACTAAAAACACCATTCGTTGTGCTCATTATACAAGCCAGATTGGTGGGAAGGGGGCAGATACCTCTGGTATTCAGATCATTAGAATAAATGAACATAAACCACAAATTAATGGCTTAGTGTTAGAATTCTCCTACAAATGTTATAGTTGGGGTTTCCAGGTCAGTCCACAGAATCATTCCTAACCCAAAACATTGCTGAAATCCTAGACACAAACATCAAATATAAAACCATACTCATACCTTAATATTAGTGTTTGAGAAAATAGACTTAAATAGAATGTGAAGGTTCTGAAGACTTTGTGGCCGAGTTTTTTTAAAAATCATCTCCTTGATTCAGTTTTTCATTTGTTAGATCATTAACTGGAGAGGTAGGGTGGCAAGGGAGAACTGTGGCGGGGGGCCAAGATGGTCTAAAGTGGGTAGAAATTTGTAGCGTATACACATCAGAAAACAGTTGCTTAAGGTACTAGAGTGTTGAGTTGGAACAACGACCTTAGGCCTTTTACCTGCTTCATAACAATTCCCAATACTGGCCACCACGTGGTGGTATTGACCTAGGAAAGGACAGATGCTTTGTAAAAGCAGGGAGGATAGGGGCAGTAATGGATTGAGTACCTCTACATAGCTTATTTGCAAGCTGGCCTTTTGTAATTATGGACCCATGACCTCAAAAAAGTGGGTGGGATTACCCGGGGATTTAGCAATTGGTAAAGATGAATGTTGCCTCAAGGGAAAGCAACAAAGGGTGACAAAGAAGCCTGACTCCATGGCCAGGTGAAGAGCCTCCTCTCCATTCGTCTGGAACTGGTCAGTGCTTCATCCTTCAGTGCCAACTGTAGTGATAAAGGCCAAAGCTATACTCTTCAAAGTTAGCAAGTTTTGAATTTTTTCTATGTAATCATTTTTGTGTCTGTTTTCCAATTCTTACTCCCCTTAGGGAGCCCAGTAGTTAAATCTGATACCTTAACCTATTCTTTAGGTATTCCCTCCCTCCCACTTCCCCCCAGCCCAAGTTATGAATGACACTTTTGTGAACTAATATCCATTACCACCATTACCTTCTAGGTGTTCAGATTAGGGGAATTAATTCGATAGAAAACTTGAGCCCTGAATTGGAGTCTGCTTATGACCTAGCATTTATAAAGTCTGGATGGCAAATCATATGTGCTGACTGAATTTTCACGTATAAAAACAACAAACATATTTAAACTACTATTTGGATACTTTACACCCAAATTCAAGATTTAGAACTTGGGCCTATGTGACTCCTGTGCTTGTGGGAATGAGTCTGTTCTAATCAAAACACTCCAAATACCTGAATGAATAAATCAAAGCAGAAACCAGGTCTAGTCATCTGAAAGAAAAATTTGTTTTCATTTCAAACATTTCATTTTCATCTGTGGAAACCACTTCCATAGAATGAGAAAATGCAAAAAAAGGAGTCTTCAAATACAGCTCAAAGATCACTAATGTATATTATGGTATACATGAAAATAAATACGCCTCTCAGTTATTTAAGATGGACATATCACATTTATATGGTACATTACCGGACTGCTGATTCCACAGATTAGTACTTTCCAGAGCTCTTTAACTACATTGCAAATTCCAAACTTAACTGTAAATTGAATAGTTAAGTCTTACTTCTAATATTTTATTCCATCAACAAAAACAGAAACAAAAGAAGCTCCCCCCTTATAAACATCATGGGTGAACATAATAAATTCATGAAGGAGGCAAGGATATTTATCGAGTATTATGGACATAGGTTCAGCTGGCACACAATGTGATGTGATATACATTTCACAGAACCTTCTATGAAACCAAGATTGACTCACTATATTAATTTGATGAATATTTATCAGGCACCTACTATGTATGCTCACACCACGATGGAGAATACAAAAGTAAGGTCCCTGTCCTCAAGAGTTTTGTTATTTAATAGCTTATACACTTGGGTCCAGTTCTTTCGGATATCCTGCTTGAATACTGTGCAACTATATTAGTAATTCACTTGACAAAAACAAAGGGCCTATTAGGTCTCCATTACAATTTTAAAACTAGGTAGAGTGCATTTCTAGGTGTTATGGCACAAACCCCACCTCACATCACTCCAGTTCCACAACTTCCAATTTCTCAGACCGTTCAACATACTCTTTCCTCCTTTTCCTTATTCTTCAGAAGAGTATCAGAATAAGGAAAGGAAGATTCTTGGCTTGTTTCTTATTTAAGGCATGAGCCATAAAACAGATATAAAAGCAAAGAATTATCCAAAGAAATACTAATTTTCATGACAGTAGTACAATTCCAGTGACGTTTTAATTAACGAGAAATTGAATTGTGACACTGATGATGATACAGTTCAGCTATGACTTACTTATTCCAAGGATTTTATAGTCAGTAAATGAAGAACGGTCATGGAATGTGCCATTGTGTTAAGGGGAAATTAGCTCAAGATTGTTTGTAATGCTCCCTTTTCCTTCAGTGCTCAGCTGACTAGCTTTCAATGTCATACAATAAAGTTTAACTATTCTTTGAAAGAACTACTTGCTGAAGGAGGAATCTGTTTATTTCAGAAAGTTTGTATTAAAAAAAAGTGCTTGTAACTTGGGTCTTGTTTAAACTTGGGAGCATAACTGCTCGCAAAAGTATTAATAAGCTTTTTTATTGTTAAGCTGCAACATACATGGTTTAATACAACAAAAACATTTTTAAATCAAGTGAAAATAAACTGAACAATAAACACTCAAAACAAAATATTTTCCATTGGAAATGTGTTAGGATGAATAAAGGGCTTAGTTACCATCTTACTGCAATTTTCTTATGTGTTACTAGCCTACAGACATGTCTTCTGTAATCATGCAGATGTGAGTGGAACTTTAAATGATTAAATAAAAGAAAAGTCCGTTTACTGCAGAGACTCATTTCACAAGGTAGCCAATTTGGCTTAGAGAACAAAACTATTCAAGAAATACTCCATGTGTTTTTGCCCATTTTAGAAACCATGAACCTTAAGCTGCTCCTCCTTGACAATGCCAACCTGTAAAACAAAACACATTTTAGCAAAGCTGTTTTCAGGAATAAACTGCCCTTCCCTAAAATAGTTGACATAAAATTAAGAAATATGAAAAGAATATCATTTAGTTGGGACATTTGGTGAGGAAGGTGTTATCTATGGAGAAAATTCCTTTAACTTTGACATCAAAATATTTTTGATTTAGGAACAACAGAACCATATTTAATCAGGGAATCAAATTTCTGACACCAAAATGTTCTGAAAAATCACAATGAAATATTTACAGTGTAGTGTTAATAATCATTACAAAATTTATACATTTCAATTAAAAAAGAAATAGGTCCTTCAGACATTTCTGTAAATAAGAATGTTGGGCCATTTGAATGACAAATTGGACATCTATCCTCCTGCCACTATATACACATACTCTATTACCAACTACTCAGTAAAACTGACTTACTTGATGTCCATCACATTTATGAAGGTAATTGTTAATGTTAATTGTTACTATAATTTTAGCAGAAATCTAAACACTGCTCTACTTCACATGCAGTCACTTACCTCCAGGAGGAACTGGCAAATGTTCTTTCTCTGGTCACCTTGAAGCTGGATAACCTCACCGTACTCAGGATGTTCAATCACAGTACCATTACAAGCAAATTTCTGGAAAAATTCATCCATATTACAAATGAGCCACAAGTAATTACATCTTTTAATATCACTAAATGAAAAGTTTCACCATAATAGCAACAAACATTTTAGTTTTGCATTAAATGAGAACATTAAAATGGTAGTTTATAAATACTGGCAAACTAATACAAAGGTTAACCAAAACAAAGCACTTAGACCACATTAAAAACTAAAAGATTAATTTTCACATTAAATCCAATTAAGGAGGTTTTCCCCCTTTCTTCCTAGTTTTCTAACCTTTAAAACTGAAATAGAAGGCAGCAACTGAATATTATTATGTCGATTTTAAGACTCATATGAAAATGGGAAATGTGAAAGTCAACTACTACACACAACTTAAAGTCTGACCACAAAACTAGAATCCAGTTACTCGGCTTCTTCAGTTTTCTTTTCTGCTAAGTCTAAAATCTATACCTTTTTGAAAGCTTTCACAAGTTTCTTTTTGTCATAATCATCTGCAATCCCCTGAACAGTAGTCAGAGTCTTTCTGCCGTTTCGTTGTTGGATTCTTATATGAATGTAATCCTCAGTCCCTGCCGGGAGTAAGTCGTCACCCTTAGTTGCATCAGCAAAGGGGTCTGCGGACACAAAACCAAACAGGAAAACAAATTACCACAGAGGAAGTAGTTGAAAATCTAGACAAGTGATAAAAGAATTTTCTAGCTGTTAGCCATTTTTGCCCTATCAGAAGCTTTCCCCTCCCCCAATAATTTTGCTTTAAGGACCCTATCATCGCCTTTAAGAGACACAGATGTCAGCTGAAACTCAAGCTTATTTTAAATAACATCGTTATTGCGACTATAAGTAAAACCTTTAGGAAACATCAGGGCAAAGTCATCTAGTTTTCCATTTTCAGATTTTGAATGTTTCTCTTGGTTGGGGTAGCAGAAATCATACTAGCTTCAGAAATCATGTTTTATAGTCCCCTGAAGGAAGATGTATGTTTCTATTACACATTAAAAACAAAAAAAATCCATTCCATTTATAATTTCAACCTCGTAATTCACTGTTCCTCACAACAAACCCATCACAAGGCACAAGCGTCAGTATACACGCCATCTCCACCTACCACACCGCGGTAGAGCCTAGTTCAGCCCATTCTTTCGCTTGTCCCCCCGGCCCCGAAATCGGGCTGGAAGGACTTCTCGGCACTTTCCCACAGCAGGAAGAGCTTACACGTCCACAGACAGAAGAGCAGCCGAGTGACCACAGAACACTAAACAGGGCCGGGGGACCCCACAGGTACGGGAGTGGGGAGGGGGGCTCATCCTCGGGCGACCCCCGGGATCGCCCCCCTCCCCTGCCGCGGAGGCCCGAGGCGCTCACGCAGGACCCCGGCTGCGGAGCTGGGAGGGAATCCTGCCCAAGGTCACACGGGGGCCAAGGGCCCGGCCAGCTTTGGCACCCAGACCCCCGACCCCAAAGGGCAGACAAAGGCGGGGGCGGGGATGGAAGGGGGCTCGAGGGGCCGGAGCCAGATACAGTTGGTGGGGGGAGGGGGCGGCCGGCAGCGGGGCCGGGGGACACACCGAGGAAGGCCGGCAGGCTGGGGGGAGGGTAACGGGATAACTGACAGGGGAGGGGGTTCGGGGAGTCGCTGGCGGGCCGGATCCGGAGCGAGGGTCCGGGCCGGGGTCCGCTCGCCGTCGGCCATTTTCTGGGCACAGACAAAAGCCGGCGGGGCCGCGGGGGGGACGGGGGACTAGCGGCGCCGCCGGGTCGGGGGTGACGGGCGGCGAGGGCCCGGGGGCCCGGCGGGCGGCCTCGGGGCTCCAGGCCGGTACTTACCGAAAGATTGGAGGTTCTGGATAGTGGACATGCGATATTAGTGAGAGGCCGGTGAGGGGATAAAATGCCTGCGGGGCGCGCCCGGGAGGACCCTGTGTCAGGAGGCTGTGGGGGCGAAGAAGGGGGAGATAAAGAAGGGAAGGCAGCTGGGAGCGAATCGGAGACGGGCGGAGGGTGGCGACGGAGGCGTCGGAGCAGCGGTAACGGAGGCGTTGGAGCAGCGGTAGCGGCGGCGGGAGGCGACGGAGGCGTCGGAGCCAAGAAGCGGCGGAGACCCAAGGCAGGAGGCGGCGCTGCGGCTTCTCCCACAAAATGGCCGAACGCGACTATTTAGGCACGCTCTCCGCCCATCCCACGTGACTGTCTGCGCGCGATGTCTCTTGGGACATGTAGTTTTCTCTTGAAGGGATGAGCGGTAAGGTGCGCCACCCGGCGTAGGGTAGGGGACCACAAATCCCGGTAGGCACTGTGTCCCTCCGCCCTCCCCCCGCTCCTCGCCCCCGCCCACCCTCTGGCTCCACAGAGATGCTTAGAAAGTTGCTTCTAGCTCCTCACTGGAAGAATTCGTTCAGGGGAGGGCGAGACGCCCCACAACTCCCTACCCCTCCTACCCCTCCCGCCCCCTCCTGCCTGCTCCCACCCCTTCCACCCCCTCACACGCAGGCACGGCTGGATCTTTGGCTTGTAGTTTTAGAGCTTCAGAGAACCTCGAAAGTCGTTGTACAGAAAAGGAAACTGAGGCAGTAGGCGGTGAAGAGACTTGCCCAAAGTCGTGCAGATCATGGGAAAGCTGATGTTCAAACTCGGGGCCTCCGACTAATCTTTTTCACATTAATTCAATAATTCAATTAATTAATAGGTATTTTTAAGTGCCTAGTAAGGGCCAAGCATTGAGCTAAGCACGCCGTCAATCAACCAACAATAAAGTGCTTACTAGGTGCCAAGGACTGTGCTAAGTAAGCCTCGAGGCTGCCAAGACAAGCTTTTCAAAAGAGCTCGAGTCCAGAGTTCCTTTCCTCCGGGAATTTTCCTTCGGGCACTTTAGATCTTCCTTCTCCTCGCTCCTTACCGGGCATTACTCTTATCAGTGGAGATGGTGTACTTCCCCTCCTCCGACAGATTATAAACACCTTGGGGATTGGATCTCTCCAGACTAGAGGTTAAGTGGCTTTCCCAGGGTCACACAGCCATGAAGTGTGGCAGATCTGAACTCAGGTCTTCCTGGCATAGAGTGCTGAGCCACTTAGCTCCCTACAGTTTCGACTTCCTCAGTCTTGCCCAACTCTTTGCGATCCCATTTGGGGTTTTCTTGGCAAAGATACCGGAGTGCTGTGCTATTTCCTTCTCCATCTCGTTTATTCCATGAGGAAACTGAGGCACTCAGGATTAAGCGACTTGCCCAAGGTCACACAGCTAGTAAGCGTCTGAGGTCGGATTTGAACTCAGGAAGATGAGTCTTCCTGGCTGCAGGCCACTGTAACCATTTTGATACCTAGCTGCCAAAAATATTTTTTTGTGCTTCTTACAGTATGGGTCACAACCCCAAGTGGGGTCAAGACCCACACTTTAAGAAGCTTTGAAGGGAGGGGCAGCTAGGTGGCACAGTGAGTAGAGCTCTGGCCTTGGAGTCAGGAGGACCTGAGTTCAAATCTAGCCTCAGACACTTAACACTTACTAGCTTTGTGATCCTGGGCAAGTCTCTTAACCCCATCATCTCACCGAAAAGCAAAATAAAACTAAAAATAAGTGCTGAAGGGGTCAAGAGTGGAAAAAGCTTAAGAAGCCCTCAGATGACCTCAAAGTTTCCTTCCAAGTCCTGAGGAGACTCACACCTCATTTTACAGGTACCAAGGACTTTCACAGAGGTGATTGATCTCAACTGATTCTTACAAGCTTAAGAGGTTCACCATCCAGGTATTAGCATGCTGAGATTACATGTGAAGAATAAGAGACTTTTAGGTAGATTAAGAGATTTACTCAAGGCCAGGCAGATGGTCAGTGTGGCAACCAAGGCTTCAACTAAAGACTTCTACCTAGTTTAGTGTTCTTTCACATACAATCCCTTTTTTGCATATTGAAATGTTAGTGTCTGTTGAGTAAACTCATAATAAAAAAGTACTCCCTTCCTCTTTCTACCTCCCATTTTTTGTGTTGCCTTCTTTATCCGAATATAATCTCCTTAAGGACAAGGACTATCTTGAATGTATTTCTATCCCCATTGCTATCCCCAAGTGCCTGGCACTTGGTGAGGCTTAATAACTTCTTAATCTCTGTCTCTCTATCTCTGTGTGTCTGTCTGTCTCTGGTATATACATACACGAAAACACATATAAATACCCATACCCATGCATATAAATACATACATATATGAATTACATGTAAATACATATTACAATTACAAATACATATATAAATCACATATACATTTTTATACATGGAGTATTCCAAAAGTCAGTGCAGTTTTAAGCTATTAAAACTTAAAATTTTAATTAAATTAAAATTTTTAAATGCACACATTTGACAGTTTTATCCACATATGGCACTTGATAATTCTTGAAATGGAGACTCCTTGCACCGAAACAAATCAGCATCTCAGCTACGCTCTTGGGTCATTGCTTGGGAGGCACAGATCATAAATGACTCTCTCATTATCACACAGCTAGCATGAGGCAGTGGCAAGACTTCCTGACTCCAAGATTGGCCCTCTATCCAGTATACCAAGCTGCTGTGGGTGCAGAAATAGGTATAGAAGAGGGAAGCAAAGGTCAGAGAAGGCAGTCTGTGATAATGTTGGGGACTGGATAATAGCAGCTGGGCAGGGGGAAAAGTCGGACTTTGCACAGTGGAGTGGCTGAAGGACAGCTTGCTTAGAGAACACCCACATAGATTTGTGTGTGACAGGGATATTGTTTTGTGATGTTGCTATGAGGCAAATCCAGAAAAGCTTAAACCACAAGCTTGCATAAGCAGAATCTCTTGAAGCAAAACACTAGATTGAGGTATGGCCAGTTGATGGAGGATTTCCTTTGTCTATAGGTATATATTTTTGGTCTGTTCTTTCCATTTCCCATAGTAAATGCTCCTGAATAGAAATTCCCTAGTGTGGGTGAAATTTCATCATGGTAAAAATTTACTTGGGCGAAATGTAATAGAATTTTGCAATGATGAGAAAAGTCAGAATGTATTCACCCTGTTTGATGGAACCTGCTTCTAATGGAAATGTCCAGGAAAGATGCCAAGGTCATTGGCTATAAAATCCTTTTGCAGTTACCAGATTTACTTTCGGCCTTTATGTAAAAAAGGCCAGTGTTCTGCAGGGCGAGGTGTACGGAGACAAGAGATGTGATTTATTTTTCCCACATACTTTTGTGTTGCAATCTGGATCGCTATGCATATTCTTTATTTTAAAATTTCTTTTCTTTTTTTCCCCCAACTAACAAGTATTTTTCTTCTTCCCACTTTCCCCTGCCTCAACTGAAGAATTAAAAAAAAAATCCTTATAACATATGCAGAGTCAAGCCAAATCAATGCCCATGTTGGCCAGGTCCAAAAATGCCTTTTAAGTCTATCACTTCTTGGGCAGGAGATGGTTTATTTGGTTCATCCTTGTCCTTTTGGAAGTGTGTTTTGTCATCACATGGATCAGAACATGCATTTTCTCCATTAAAAAAGTTATTATTATTATTATTATTATTATTATTATTATTATTATAGAAAGGCAGACTGAGCTTGTGGAAAGAAATGATGCCCTTGGAGTGAGGAGAGATCTGATTTCATATCCCGCCTCTGAAGCTAACCAACTTTGTGAGCATGGGCCAGTCACTTAATTTCACAGAGCCTCAGTTTCCCTCAAGATGTTAATATCTAACATTTGGAGAAGGCTCAAATGAAATAATAGATGTAAAGCATAGTACAAATCTTACAACATCATATGTATATCAGGTATTATTATAATTCTTTTATAAGTCATTGGTTTGATAAAATCTTTCAATAGAGACTTTTAAAGGATTTTTGTATTAGATTCATGATTTCAATGGTTTAGGGAGCTCCTGGTGAAGAGACATGGACACTTGCTCTGTGATTTGGTGTCTTAGGGAGTTATCTGAAGCACTGAGAGATTCAGTGACCTGCCTGTTGTCACACAGCCATTATGTGTCAGAGGTGAGACTTGAACCCAGGTCCATCTGGTTCTCATGCCAACCTTCTATCCATTACGTCATGCTGCTTTGATAAAGAATGCTCCCTTTAAAACAGGCAGACTTAATCCCACAGGCCCTCAAGTGGATGTAATTCTAAATGGAGCCTGATGAAATAAACTATAGAAAGTGTGCCTTGGGGTTTTGAATGTTAGAGTATAATAGAGATACATTAAGAATATTTATGGAATATGCTGTGAACATGTTACTCATGAAACAGTTACTTATGTGCCAAAAAGTAAGAAAATAATAACTCTCAGTGTCATCCCAGCCCTAGCTAGATCTGTTTCTCAGTATAACTATGGAACACTCCAACACGGTGATGCATCTTCCAGAATTTCTTCCGTAAAGGCTTGTTGGAGCTGGCTCTATTTAAAAGAAAGTGATTTTAAACGGGAATACTTTGCCCATGCAGTTGCTTTGTTGGTGATGTCCAATCAGTCAACTGATCTAACTTTGGAGAGGAGAGGGAGAAAACTCCCTTGAGATCCCTCTTGGATCCTTCACCTGAACTCTCAAGTTGCTTCATCTACAGAATGAACCAATTCCTTGGGGCCAGAATCTTCTTTGGTCACTAGCATACGCATCTCCTATGTTGCTGTAAAACTATCTGGATGCTTTTTGGAGGAGGGGAAAAAAAGTAGTGTACTGCCTCTATTCTGTGGTAGGGAAAATTATCCAGCCATTTGCTTTGTTTCTGGTAACCTATTCTCTCCTCCATCATGATAATGTTGGCACAACAGTATGATTCTGTAACTACATGTCCCCATTGTCCCCATTACATTTGCTGTCTAATCTCTCCTATTAGATAGGTGGCAAAGTGGATGGAGTGCTGGGCCTAGAGTCAGGAAGATTCCTCTTCCTGAGTTCAAATCTAGCCTCACTTACTAGCTGTGTGACCCTGGGCAAGTCACTGAACCTTGTCTGACTCAGTTTCCTCTTCTGTCAAATGAACTGGAAAATGAAAGGACAAACTCCTGTATCTTTGCCAAGAGAACCTCAAATACGGTCACAGAGTTGGACAGAACTGAAAAACTGCTGAACAACAAATCCTATTAGATACAGAGCCTCCTTTAAGATTGAGAGTTGGGATATGTCCTTTAATACTAGAAAGAGCCTTGGGCAAAAC